TTTTAAGTAAAAAATGCTACTTATTTTTAAATTTATAAGCGAACTTTTTAAGCTTAGGCAGCGTTGCTTTTAATTTCCATTTTCTCCTTGAAATGTAGCTTTGTTTATATTTGATCGACCCTTAATTGTTTTGATGCAGAAAGTCGAGTATCTGAACCATAAAAAGCTTAGTATTGGCAATTTCTTTGTCGTTTGTAGTAGCAGCAAGAGATGACATTGCTCGCTGTAACAGGCAGACTATAATATCATGTAAATATTTGTAGTATATATCTCCAAAATGTAGCAATAGCGAGAATCTATGGTGATTGCTCAATATGATAATAAGTTATTGCTTGCCGAAAACAGGTTGACAAAATTCAGTTTCTTGACTCATAATTCATAGGTAGTTTTTCAAGTGAAGTGAACTGGTAATATGGGGTGGCCCCGTGTATGGTAGATAGCCTTGATGTGCATGTTTGGTATCGTATTAGTTAGTATAATTGATAAGATTTCGGTCGCTCTTTTTTCATAACGGGGTTTGATGGATTGGTTTATTTGGAAACATCGGGAAAAAGTCTAGTCATTCATAGGGATGGCGATGGGCAGAGCCAATTTGGCCCTTTAACCGAGACAAGCTGAGCTCTCGTTGCTCGGCAGCGAGCTCGGCTCGGCCCACGAGCTCATGATCTGAGCTCTCGTTGCTCGGTAGCGAGCTCAGCTCGGCTCACAAGCTCGTGAGCCAAGTCGAGCTCATGAGTTATTCGCGAGCTCGTATTTTTTTAGTAAATTTGCACTTTTTTTTATTTTTTGTAAATTTTCATATTTTTTGACGAGCTCGTCAAAAATGGCTCGTGGGCTTAATGAGCCGAGCCTGATTGAGTACCCTGCTCGATCCGTTTGACATCCCTAGTCATTCATTAAAAATTGAAATCTAGAATGCATTGAAATTTTGTTTGCCCTCATTTTTTAAAATTTATTATTAATTGAATATATTTGGATCATATATCTATACAATTTGATCATAAATTAACGATTTAGTTAATCACTTATTATATAAATTAGTAATCTTATATAACAAATTATTTTATGATTACAATTCAAAAATTTTATAAGTGATTGTTTGTTTATCAGTTACAAATCAAAAAAAATTATAAATTACGATTTATTTATTAGTCATGAATCACAAATATTATAAATCACAATTTATTGTATAGTTACAAATTATTAGTTATAAAGTCAACTTTTATTTGTCACAATTTATCTATTTATTACTAATTATTAGATTAATTGGTCACGATTAATTTTTCGGTTACAACTTAATCAATTGTGAATCACAGTTAAAACTCTTAGATCACGTTACAAATTAACCAATTGTTGGTTGTAATTAACCAAATGATTGGCCACAAGTATTCCACCCCATCTCAAGCAGTCGTCGTCGCTATCTCCATCAACCACCACCCCATCGTCATCGCGACTACAGTCACACCCCACCGCAACTACAAACAGAACCACCGCCACAACCCGCGCCGCTGTCACTAGCTGTCCACCAACAAATCAAATCTAAAACGCCATTGTCGCCTCCACAATTTGCCTCCACCATTTTCAACCACCACCACCACACCTAAACACTCCTTCACAGAATAGGCAAGAAAAAATCATCACGATACCACTATCACCGCAACTAACCACCATACCAACAGTAGACCAAAAAAGCCATCACCACCACTCCAACAAACAAAACCAAAACCAAAACCACGTTACCTTGTCGTAGATCCACCAGTACCTACGCCAACCACCCGGAGCACACTATCAGCGCTTGAACTGCAGCAGTGCCCATTTTGCGCAAAGAGCAGCATTGCAGCGACTATCGGCACCGCCCCTGTATCCGATGCGGTCCGATGAAGAGAAGCTCCATTATGCACGGTGCTCCCAGTTGTGGTTCATCGCCGTTGTAGCTCAATAAAGGAGACGAGAGAGATGAGGATAAAAACAACTCCGATGAAGGGAGAGCGAGTTATGGAGAGAGAAAGGAGGAGGGAAATTGATTAGGGTTTGGAATGAAAATTATATATTTAATAATTAAAAATAAAATATCTGATTTGTGAAATATGAAACTTCCCTCCTCAATTTAGAACACAGATTTTTAAAGGTAGGGTGAGGAGTAATTTCCTCTTTTTTATATTCATTTTCAATTACACATCTTATGGGATAAATAACATTTTTTTTTTAGTCATATATTTCTTAAACATTTTTCAAATATATTAAAAGAGAATAGCATCAATAATGTCGATCAACATTTTAGGTGACAGCTTTATAATATTAAATAATAGGTACACTTATATGCAACGTTAAATGATTCATTTAATTAAAATTAAGTGTACCGTCAAGGCTACTGTTATATAGCATTATTCCTATTAAAATTTATTTATTAACCAAACTAGATGTGCGAAATCAACTAAGAATAAGTTAGTTTAGTTCTCACTTCTCAAACAAACGGTTCACAATTAAAAAAATTTACTCGAGTTTTTCTTTTACCTCATGTTTATTTCAATTAAAAAGATTAAAATTATTAATAATAAATTTTAATTGCACATTTTATGTCACAACTTTTAAATGCCTTCCATGATTTTTTGTCAAAATTTATATTTTATCTTAAACTTTAGGGGTTTATGTAGTTTTCCGTTGCTAATTTGATACTCTGGTAAGACTAGGCCTTTTCAACACATTGAAGGGAATGAGAAATTAAAAAAATATGACGATATTTTTAATTAATTATTATTTTTGAAACGAATAAGGATTATGTCCAAAAACTCAACCTTCATTTTTAAAATTAAATTCGTCCATGGCCATCCAAATTTATACTTAGTATTATTAAGGTCACCCATTTTAAATTTGTTTCACGATGATCATTTAACTTTATATTTAGTGTCACCATAACCATTGTATTTGATTTTATTTTATTACGATCACTCAATTTCATATAATGCTTTATCATGACCACCCAAATTCTTTTCACATTTTTTACTAATTTTAAAAGCTTAAAAGCTGTAAATCGATAACTTTGTGTTAAATATATAAAAAAATAAAAAAAATGAAATAAAATAAAAACGTATTTGAAAAAAAAATGTTGCTTAAAAAAATAAAATGAAAACTTATTTTTTTAAAAGTGTTTTTAAAATAAGATAAAAACTTATTTAAAAAAAGTTACTTAGTAAAATAAAATAAAAGGTTATTTAAAAAAAATTATTTAGAAAAATAAAATAAAAAAATATTTGAAAAAATATGTTGCTTAAAAAAATAAAATGAAAATTTATTTTTCTAAAAGTGTTTTTAAAATAAAATAAAAACTTATTTAAAAAAAGTTACTTAGTAAAATAAAATAAAAGGTTATTTTAAAAAAATATATATTTAGAAAAATAAAATAAAAATTTATTTTAAAAAATATTTTTAAAATAAAAATTTATTTTAAAAAATATTTTTAAAATAAAAAACTTTAGATTTTTAAAATTGATTTTATATATATAATGCAAAGTTAAAATTTTTACCCCTGTTTGATTGGCCACATTTTTCATGGTTTGTTTGATTGCAATATTTTTTAGGGAATTCCATTTCTATATTTTCCCTCACATGTGCATCTTCCTTGAAATGGTGGAAAATCAATTCCCACCAAATGAACACATTTAATTGATAATTCTTAGGAAAACAAGTTTTAGAAAATTTAATTTCTTAGAATTCATTTTTTTTTCATTCGAATTCCATTCTTGTAATAAAACAGACCTAGCGAAAAGAGTTGGAAAAAAAAAGTTTTTGACTATGGTGAAATTTATATAAAATTGGGTGGTTGTGATGAAATAAAATCAAATTGAATGACCATAATAACACCAAGTATATAGTTGGATGACCATACTGAAATAAAATCAAATTGAGTCTCATAGGTGGATTTAACCCTCATTGTGAACGTTTCAACAAAATCTAGAATCTATCTGCACAATCGTGTCAAGTATTCTGTTGTTGATTTATCAAGACTATTGATTTTGAATATATCCAACAATTATATATTCGAGAACATCGACAAGAAGCGATGAGATTCCGAATCAGAAGATATTGATGAATTGGTCATGATTTAGGGCAATCACAATCCATAGCATATAATTGAAGAAGAAGAAGGGCGACTTTAATTACATGGCGCAATCGAATACGTTAATGATTGTAATGGGGAGGCCTTTGATTGTGCTGATCAGTGGTACTCTTGTGTACTACCATTGTTCCTACCGGAATTCGAGTGTTGTTTCACTTCTCTCCGATGTGTTCATCGTCCTTTTGTGCTCGCTAGCCATTCTCGGCCTCCTTTTCCGCCATATGAACGTAGCTGTCCCTGTTGATCCTCTCGAATGGCAGATTTCACAGGAGGCTGCGAATTCGATATTCGCCTGCTTGGCTAACACCGTCGGCGCTGCCGAGTCCGTCCTCCGCGTTGCCGCTACCGGCCACGACAAGCGCCTCTTTTTTAAGGTACTATGATTATCTACCCTAATTTTGGCTGTAATTTCATTTCTTGACCTAGATAGTTTAAAAATGATCCCCTTTATCAATAATTAATAACATTTCTAAATAGTATTAGGGCCGATTTGCGATGAATATAAATTTGCGCCTTGATCGGATTTTACTTTTCTGATGGAGAATCGAAGGCATGGTTGATTCATTGAAGTATTTATTTATTCTGTGTTCTCAATTCCTACATACATATGAACAGAGAGAGAGAGAAAGACAAATAATGTCTACTAATTGAATAAAGGTTCAAAGAAAGAGGGATCATGTCAGTTATCTGCACTTCTGAACCTTGTTTATCATTCAATTGTGCTGCTAATGGAAATTCAAGACTGGCTAATTTATCCAATGAATCTGTCTGGAGAATACGTCTTTGATCTTATTTCGTTTGCATCAGGTGGTTGCCTGTCTATATGTTCTGTCGGCCATTGGAAGAGTTGTTTCAGGCGTCACTGTTGCATATGTAGGTGAGTCTTATACGCCTTCTTTCATTCTCTCGGATGCCAGCTTAAAAGTTACTTTTATTGAAAATAAGTTTGTGGGAAGAAAAAGTAACTTTGAAAATCTATGGCAAACTACGTAACCTAAAAATAAGTAACTTAACATGCTCGTAATTTGCTGTTCTTGTTGATTGAGATAATCACTTGTTAGTTTCTGGGGACTGGACTTGTGAAAATGTACAGTGTATAACTCTAGTGTTGTGTTACTTGATATCCCATAGCTGCCAACACTATGACTTTTGAAAAACCATTGAAATAATAAATAGCAGGTAGGATTAATGGTTAGACAATCGCAAGTAATTTGATTTATATAATGTAGTAAGAGCATGTTTGGCTGTGTTTTACTAACAAAACTTACTTTTCTAGAAATAAGTACTAACCAACTTTCTACAAATTTAACTTTTAAGCATTGCCAAACATGCTTATAATCTCTTTGTTTTGAGGGGGCATGGTTGGGTTGGAGGGGAATCTACGATGATGTTTTCCAATGAGTTGGAGGAGGTTCAATTCGGTTTTAGAGTAAATGTGGCTGGCTGTGCCCACACAATCCTCGTTTTAGGTGTGCCGGTTACAGGTCATTGCAGGCTGCTGGCCTCTACAACTGAGCTTGCACATGCTAAGCCTGGACCTTCTGGCACATTTCAACACCCTAATAGCTAGCCATCAAGTTTTGCCTTTCCAATTTATGATGGTGAAACCACTTTTCTTGAAGCTCCACCTTCACTTGGTCTCTATATGTTTTGTTTGCTTATTCATTGGTTTTCTTCTATAGGATTATGCTTGCTTTGTCTCTATATGCTCATTGAGAATTCACAATCAAATGGCTCCTGTTTGGCAAGATTTTCTGCGAGGAGAGAGGACGCAATTTCTTTACAGGATAACACTTTGCTCTAATGCAAAATATTCTCAAGCCTCATCCAGGGTAATGGTTGATCTGTATCGGTGCTATATCTATGATTCTATTTGTACGCTTCCATGTTTCCTAAGAATCTTATATAATGAGAAAGCCCAGTTTATACTCGACTCGTCTTTCAGCAGCATTTTACCAAGAAATGTGCTCTATACTACAATTTCAAGAAATTCCATTTATGCGTGCACATTGTTCCACACACGAAAATTATTCCCAAACCTAGAGTATAGTTACCACTACCAATCTGCTCAAGATACAAGGGGCAAAATTGAACTGGCTTTGCTTGTTGAAATAGGGTCGCGTGGCGCACTGGTTGAACTGGGCCTTCAACCAGCTTTATTAAAATTGAACATATTCTGTACAATAGTCAACTATTACACAGAATGAACTCGAGTTGTATGCCTGTCAACCATTTTCCTACTTTTCAGATTGATTTTCCAGGGTATCAAAAGGTATAGAAGAAATTTAATTACTTATCGATCTTATTTATGAATCGATTACATTTTGAGGAAAAATTATGTTGGTACAAATTGATACAGTACCAACAAACCAGAGCTCCTCATAGATAAGGCCGTACACACCCTTCCTGCTGACACAGGCTTCAGATCCTTGTTGCTTGCTGTGGGTTGACACCCGGAACAAAATTCATTGCATTCAGCAAGATTGATCATGAAGGACGTCTCTCTGCAAGCAATATATATTTCCACGCTCCGTAGGAAGGCACGACTTTCAAGCAACTTGCGGCCCAGCCTCTGTAAAGGCCCATAAGACCTTCTTGCTTAATTTTGTTTTGAGAAACTAACAAAAAGAACGTATTTTCAACAATTTCAAAACAAACACTCAAAACACAAAATTCAAAATGAATTTAAAACTCAAAACACAAAACTGAAACACAAAGAAAACACCCCCTAACTTATCGTGCTCGCTGTCACGCCTGAAAAAAGCGGGTAATAATTAGGAGGAATCCTGGCGGCATGGTTGGTATTCACAATTCAAATTTTCCACCCAGGTGGGCGATTGGATCGCTCCAGAAATAATCGTCTAATGGACATATGAATTCAAAGACATCTGGCTGTACACAGCCCCACAAGAGTTCGA